CACCTTTTTTTCAAAGATTAATTTTATTTATTTGAAAGGTAGAGTGATGGGGAATATGTACACATATATGCACAGAACACCGAGAGAGAGAGAGAGAGAGAATCCTTCATCTCTTGGTCCACTCCCCAAGTAACTGTAAGAGCCAGGTCTAGGCCAGGTAGAATCTAGAAGCCAGGGGCCAGAAACTCTGTCCAGGTCTCTCATATAGGTGGCAGGCACCCAAGCACATGGGCTTCTTGTGATACTTTCCAAAGCACATCAACAGAAAACTGGACCAGACGCAGGGCAACTGGAACTCTAAACAGCATCCTGAACTGGGAAGCCAGCATCACAAGTGGTCAATTAACCTGCTTGTCCCTTCTTGTGATGGTGAAGTCAGTGGTTCAGACCACAGTTAACCCCTGGTACTGGAAATGTGGGAAACAAAACAGCAGATCTCTTGCACCAAGGGGTCTCTATCACTAGTTGCCACAACGGATGCTACAAAGGGATCCTGGATGCCTCTTCCTTCAGACAGGTGCCTTCAGCCGACTGCAGTTGCTTCTTCCCCAAAGAGAAACACCTCCCCGCTTTTCTACTCTAGGACAATGATCGTCTTTGGCCTCTAAAAGGAGTCAAGTCAGTTGTGCAAGTTTCTCCTTTTCCCCTGGCCCTGTCCTTGCTCTTGCAGGTATGTTCCCAATAAGCCATATGTACTAAACTCACTGTCTTGGGCCCCGCCTCTAGGGAACTCCACCTGAGATAGAGGCAGATACACGGAGATCCCACTGGGCACCAACCTTTCTGTGAGTCAATGATGAACAAATACACACATCCATAGAGATAGTATAAATGAGTGCTTGTCATCCCATTGTACAGATGAGCAGACTGAGCCTTAAGGAGGAAAATTTGCAGGCTGCAGACAGGTGAAAAAAAAGCTTGGACCAGGTCCTCTTCTGGCTAGCCTCACTGCCTCTGCCCTTCTACCTCTGATATGGCACCCAGGCCTGGGTATGGGATGGTGGTAAGTTTCTCTATGGTCCTGTTCCTGTACAATTTTTACAATTGAAAAGCTCTTTGGACTTAAAGAAGGCCCAGGGATAGGGGGCCATGACTGTACCCAAATGAACTCCTATACTCAGAGCCAATTCCTTTCAAATGTGTATTTGTTCATCATTGATCCTAGTTCCTTTATCCACATTAAAATTTCTCCTCTCCTGTCCTTTCTGGGGTCACTGTCTAGAGTTTCATCACCTGGGAAACTAGAACATTTAGGTGGAGCAAGACCAAGACAGGGAGTCCACAGAGCTACTTGTGGTAGCCAAGAACTTAGAGGCCATTGGTCAACTTGGTGTTCAGCTATCATTATCTGCATTTTCCAGACAGTGGGCAAGGCCATTTATGGGTGTACCAAGTCCAAGGTTTCCTGGAATCCAGATGTGAATAGTGGGTTTGAGCTGGACTAGGAGTGATTCCACAGGATCCACACTGCAGGTTCCAAGCCCAATGTGAAAAGGGCTTAGCCTGAAAGAGTTTCCTAAATTTGAGCTAACTGCACGTAGAGATGAGTAATTTTGGAAGCCTGAGCACCACCATCAGACTTCCAAAAGCAGGATCTTGGCAGGACCAATGCAAATTTTCACCTGTGAGGGTCTGTCCTGGAGGCTTCTCTGGTCAGTCGGAGGAGCTGTATGTTTCTCCAATGGAACCCACCAGACTTGGAGCGCTGGCCTATGGCTACTTTACGTAGCTTCTTATACTTGCTTGCCATGACATCCTGCCTTGGGTGGCCTTCCCCCAGTGCATGAACATACATGTTCAACGTAAGACTTGCCTGTTAGTTTTGTCTCAGTCAAGCAACACTGTGGGAGTTCAATGACAAGGTATGCAGGCATTTGAGATGAGTGTGGGTATGACAGAATGCCTGGAATCACACCCTTGGCTTTACCATCATGACAGGTAGGTGCGTCCTGTGCTTCTTCTGTGTTCCCTGCAGGGAGTATTTGGAGGGATCCAGTTTCCCATAGCCCTAGTTTTCAGGACTACTTTATAAAATGGTATCTCTGCTCCATCTAAGGGAGTCAAAGGAAGCTAGCTCCCTGCCTTTTAGCTCAAGTCCATGTGAGCAGGAAAGGCCCAATTGACTCCATATCTCTGGGTTTGAAAAGACACAGGCCACTAAGAAGGTGCTGGCTGAGCCTGGGCCTGCAGGAAAGGAAGCACCTGCCACTTCTGTCAATGCCCCTTACTAGAAATGCATCCGGATGCCCTGAGAAGATGCCTAAGGTCTTACAGATTTCTTCTGGCCTAGTTAGAACCAATTCTGGAGAGGCAAAAGAGGTTCAAAATATATGCTTTATGCTTCAGGCAAGGAAAGTAACCACATAGAACCCCTGGCATCAGGAGGATCTATATTGAATTGTATCTAATATTAACATCAATGAATGCTGGTCAATGTTACAGGTCTAAAGGGCTCCTGATTCTCAAAGGGCAGCACGGTTTAGTTAGGGACCCAAGTAGATGATGTGATATTTGGAGGCCAGACCTGGCCAGGAAAACGTAACCAGGAAATGAAGAGGCCCAGCTCCCTCTTGTGAGCTTTGAAAGTAGAAACTTCAGCCCACAGAAGGCCATGAAGGAAGAGCCAACAGGCCTTCTCCAGTCAAGCCAGGGGGACAGCAGGGTGCAAAAAGGAAGACTGGGGCCACTAATGCGGTCCCAAGGTTGACCTGCCACATCAGTCTCTTCTGGGAACTCTATAGAAATGTAACTTCCTGCTCCCCACTCCAACTCCGGATGTGCACTGGTAGGAAGTTGGAACTAGAAACAGATCTGTCAAGCACCCCGGCATGGGAGGCGGTGTCCCATGTGGGGTCTTTACCACTGCACTGAACACCCAGCCCCAAATGCATTTTTGTTGATTCTTACAGTGTTTGAAATTGTTTGAAATGGTTTCCAATGTTTTAAAGCAGATTTTCTTTTCCATGAAAATCTACATTTCTAGCTTTTCTTGGGAGAAATCATAAGTCGATCCGCTCACGGGGGACTCCCATGCCTGCTTGGTAGTAACTGCCTGGAGCTGAGGAGAGGCCAAATTCACACAAAGGGCACGAGTCCTCGTGGGAGTCATGGCCTCTCATTACCTTCCTCTCTGCTTCACAAATGTCCACCTGGAGGCATCTGAGCCATTGCCCTGCGACCTGCCTAATGCCTAGCATCACCTTGAGCTGCAGCTCATTCAACACACAGTTGCCCGACAGTGGGACTTATCACTGCCCTTATAGCATTCTTCTCTCCTTGCCCCTCATGACTCTCCTCCCACCCCATCTCGACCCCTGCCACTTTATGCTAAGATGGAAGGGAAAAAAAAAAAAGACCAGACCGAAGTGCAAGGCTCAGAACCACAGCTGTGCGAGTCAGTTTGCATCTGCCACAAACAGGTTTAACCTTTAGATTGCACTCTTGAAAAAGTGAACTCATGACCACATTCAGGAAGCAAGGGGCAGTGCCTTTCAGTTAGGACTGAGCAGGCTTTTGTCTATGGTGTGTATGTGTGTATGGGGCGGAGGGTCATCAGAATAGACAAGCTCCTGTTTCAGCAACCAGTGACCCCTTAGCCTGGAATTATTTGAGGATCTTCTGGGTGCCAGGCTCTGAGGACATCAGCAGGTGATGGGGACAACCCATCTTCTTCCATAGGCAGGCAGTTAGCCTGTGCGTTGTGGACCTCAAACACTTTGTCCTCCACATTGCCTCACAGGTGCCAGACTCTTGACCTGCTATGCAGTTCCTTTAGTTTAGGCTGAGTTCCTATTTACAAACGAAAATATCATTCTGGGGAGGAAGGTATCCATTGGGTCAGTTAGTCATCAACTGAGGTGTGTATTTCTGAGTGTGCATCTTTGACCATATAGCTTGTAAGCTGGGAAATCACTGGGGTCTGACTGTTGTGCACATGGAGCCCAGAAGATACACACACACACACACACACACACACACACTCAAATAAGCCTTCGATTTCTGTTGGTTCCATATTGCAGTTAAACAACTGGATAGAAAACATTTGGACAAAAACTTATACCTGTATTGAATCTGTGCAATCTATTTTTTTTATCATTATTGCCTAATCAACAACTTTCAAGGCATTTACGTTGTGTTAGGCACCACTGGCCATCTAGAGAGGGTTTAAAGCCTCAGGGAAGACATCCACTGGAGAGACAAAAATACTATGTCATTTGGTAGATGGGACACGAGCGCCTGTGGACTTGGGGAACTACAGAAGTTTTTGACTCAATTCCCATGGTGGGGGGGAGGGTCACTAGTTGGAAGCGGCTTTCTCAGATGTGTAGCTGTGACTGCTCACTACTTTTTGAGGTCTGCTCGCTAGCAGATGCCAAGGTGAAGGTGGGGAGGCAGGTCCCAGGGGTGGCGCATGTTAGCTAGAAGCTGCTCATCTTATTCTCTCCTTATTCTCTTATTGCTGAGGCAGGGCAGGGTCACAACCACCTTGTCTGGTTTCCTTGAAGACCATTCTCTGGGAAATCACACTGGCCCACCCACTCACAGTAGCCCATTACAATTCTTTCTTGAATAACTATGTTAGAGGGATACTAGCGCCAGCTAAAATGGTGCCTTTTTACCCTATTCTACACGGGGTATAGGTGGGGATGCTGAGGCTCCATTAGGATTCCTTGCTGGATGTGATTTGGGAGCAACATGGAGAGGCTTCTGAAGGGAGTTTCCATCACCCTCAGTCCACTGAAGAACGTGGAGATGTAGGAGAGCAGGGCTTGGCCGGCCAGGTGGCTCATCCTGCTGTCTCTCCCTAAAACTTGGGGCTCCTTCCCTCCCATGGCTTGCTCTCTGAAAGGGAGACAGTGGCAGCCAGGCTCCCATGCACTTGGCAATCTGTCAATTCGTTCTTTGGGGAAGCAGAGCCAAGAAGGCTGGGCAGGGCCAAAGTGCTGCAGAGTCAGCAAGTTGCATCTCTGCAGCAGTAGCCAGCCTAGCATGCGTTCCTCAGTTAACACACCTGCGGGTACGTGGTACCTCAAGCTCAGAATCCATAAAGTCAAGGCAATTTCCTTAACATGCCATCAATAAAAGATTATGGAAGGGGGAGGGTTTTCTTTAGAAGCTAATGCCTTACTAAAGTTCAAATGAAGCAATATATAGTAAAATAAATTCAATCTCTATTTTCACTCCTTGCAATTTTAGTGGAGGCTAAATGAAATGGAACTGTGTTGTTCCTAACCCGTTCAATATATCTTCACTTCCTAAGAGCCAAGGTCATCTCTACCTTCATTGGAAAGGAGGCAAAATATAAAATATCCACCCATACTAAACAGAAAAGCGTTTGCGAGTTTTTGAAAGCCAGGTAGATGACTGATATAATATGTCATTCATTTCATGGTGCAGCCGAACGTGGTTTATAGATAGCGTTTAACTTTGCCAATTCTGCGACGATATAATCCCCCTTCTGAGGATAAAAATCATACATTTCACATAAAAGGAGAGATTGTGGAAAGAAAAGCAGCAAAATGAGTTCTGTACAATGGATAACAGAAAGTTGCTTGCCCAGAGATGATCAGAGCAAGTTTGTGCAGGTGCACCTTACTGACCAACACTCATCAGGTGAGACAGTGACTACTGGGGTGACTGGGACAGGGTGCTGCTGAATGATACCAAGTACCTGGTTTCCTGTGTGTACTGGTACACACAGTATCTCGTTAAATCCTCTATGTAACTATGAATGTCAATGGTGTACTCACTTGTTTCATAAAGGAGAAAAACAGAGTTGCCTGGAGTCTACTAGCATAGCTGAAGGTTACTCCACTGGACGAAGATTACACAGCGCAGATCAAACCCAGCTCCACTATGAGGCCAAAGCACACGAGTGTACGGAACACCCCTCCACCCACTTGAAATTCAGGTTTGGACAGAACATGTTTATTTCTGCACTTCTTTAAGACCTTGAATAGGACATGTCTAAAACCAAATTCCTCTTTCCATCTCCCCGCTTCACGCCAAGATTCCCTACTTTCTAAGAACACTGTTTCCTTGAGCATCCACGTGGAAGTCTACGAGCCACGTTGGGTTCCAGGTTCCCCATCCTAAATCCCCAAACTGCTACTATCCCCTCACCAGGCTGAAAGTTCCTTTGTACAAACATGTACTTCAGGTCTTGGGGTTGCTTTTCCTGTTCCCGGATGCCAAGCACAGCCACCTGTATCACAGTTCCTTTCCACAGGTCCCCATTGTCCACCATTTCTTCTGGAATTCATTACACTGTCACCTACCTGCTCTCATCTGTCTGCCGTTGTATTTACCTGTTCATGTGCCACCAGAGCAGTGTAGAGCATCCAAAATGATCTTTCATGGTAGCCTTCCTATTTGCTTGAGCCTTAGAATCCATTGTAGTCTTTTGTTTCCCCCAACTTAGGTTCCTGACCAGTGCATCTGAAACAAAGATGAGAATTTGCCTTTTTAATAAGCACCTTTGGGCTTCTTGAACATGTGGCCTCTGCCTTACCCTGGGAAACACTGGTCTGGTATAAATGTTCATTCACAGCTGGAGGAGGAATTAGGGAGAACTGCCTGCAGTACGCAGAAGTTCCAGCTGGCACGTGGCCCTCCTGCCTCCCTTGTGCCCTGCTTTCACTTCCTCTGATGCTTTCTATTAAGAGCTTAGCAATGGGTGATGGAATGAATGCATTACAGAATGAGTCTGAAACCTGTCTTCCTGATATCTTGGAGTTATTCTCTGGTTATAAATTTGTGATTCCTGTGATGCTGCCTGAATTCTCCCTGCTACTAGGGCATCTTGGGTCAAAAGTACTACAGCCGAAGGCAACTGTCTGAAATACTTAACCAGAACTCCTTCCAAATGCTGAGGTCACCCAAAACAAGGTAAATCTGAGAAACTGTCATGGTCATCAAGACACTTGAGGAGATGCAACTAAACATAACATGGTAATTCTAGACAGAATTCTGGGATAGAAGAAAATGGTCACAGGTCAAAAACCCAGAAAATATGAACTTTAATTAAAATTAACTGAAGAAGTGATGGGGCAAGAATCTAAACTACCTTCCCTTTAGCACAATCTTACATCCTAGCCTTTTCAGAGAGTTGATCCTAGAGTGTTTGTGAAGATTAGTGCTAATCCAAAAGAGTGTTCTGCCTTCCGTTTAGCACAAGGGAAGGCTTGGGGACATCTGGCCAACATGCCAGGAGCTACATCTTAGCCTTTTCAGAGAGTTGATCTTGGAAGTGTTTGTGAAGATTGGTGCTAATCCAAAAGACTGTTTTGTCCCCTCTCCATGTCCATCTGCTAGGACAAAGAACTGACTGGTCTGAAGCTCTGGATGGGGCACTTACAGTATCACTTAGAGTAAGGCCTTGGCATTGGGCCAAGGACAACATACTTATTTCCAAGGATCTGGCGTGACACCCAGCTCAGATACCCACCTGCTGGTGACTTGGCATGTGTTATTGGCCTTCCCATTTGATGAATGCAGATGAGAGCACCCTCCTTACAAAGCTACTGTAAGTGTAGAGTCAGCTGGTTCTAACATAATACCTGGAAGACAGCATCTCACCGAAGGTGCCCTGGTTGGACACTGGGAGTTTCAGAATGGCTCAAGGTGACAATTTTGAAACTTGCACAACTTCTGCTCCCAATTCATTTTCAACCTTGGGCTCTATTCCATAAGTGCCCCTCTCTGGCCACACTTGGCTGGAACAATCCCAATTATAACTCAAATTTCTAGTTCTGTAGAAATGAAACCATCATTTGACTTGGTCCCAGATGTCATTTTTATTGGTGTCTAAAAATAAAACTGACAGTAATTTCCTAAACAGTTTATAGCTTCAGCATAGGCAGCTAGATTCTTCCCCTGGGCGTGCCATGAAAAGCCACGCACACCACGTCTGGATTGCAAACCTCTGACCCATGCCAGCCTGTAGTGTCAGCACAGCCCCCAGGAGGATGACACAGGCCAGCAGTCCAAGGAAGAAGTGACCAGCCTGTGCCCAGCTTCATCTCAGAACTTGGGAGCTTTCCCTTCTTTGGTCTGCCCCTCTGACATTGGCTGAGGACACCCAGAGAAGGGGGAGAGTGTAAAAGGAGAAATGGGGAGAGAGAGGGAGAGAGAGAGAGAGAGAGAGAAAGAGAGAGAGACCCAAACCCTGACTGCATAAATGTAAAAAAGGTGGCTCTCTAGCAGATAGGTCATATTGTATGAACTATCCATGCAGTTGATTAGATCTAGCATTGTCTAGAACATTCTCTGAAGCACTAAATGACATATGAAGGAAGATTTACAAGTGTAGTTCTCGGAGACGCTGTGCTGGGGAGTTATGGTGTCTCTGCCCAGTGTCACCGGGGGAGGCCAGGAAAGTAGTTTACAATTAAATCCATCCCATAGATCTTTCTGGACACCTTCTGGATAAATCACTGTAGTTGTTGGCTATTGCAATGAGGCAAGGAAGGAAGGCGGGAACTTTGCAAGATGCAGCACTTCTATATGGTCTTCTACTTGGGTCCCCCAACTCAAGCAGGCAGGTTTGGGATCCTCCTTGGATCAACATAGTCATGGCTCCAGAGACCTGGATCCCCAGAGACCAGTGTGCTTTTACAAGTTTTTAGCTACATAAGTCATACTGGAATGTTTTCTTCTTATAGAAAGGAAATCAAAGCAACACAGACCATTTAAAGCCCTGCTTAGGCCTTACCACCACACTTACCACTGCCACCTTTTGCACGAGATTTGCCCAGTACTTTTTGACACATACATGTATATGTGTGAATGTAAGAAAAACATGTTCATGTGTGTGTGAAGTTTGCTTCTTCCCTTTCCTCTCTTCCTCCTTCTTCTCCCACTTCCTCTCTGCTTTCCTTTCTTTTTCCACATTTAAAAAGTACTTAATCATGTAGATTTTCAGTTGCCTTTGCAATGGTCTCTCTATAATATATATCTGGTGCTGTAATTTGTTGTTTTCATCATCAAGGGCTGTTCCAGGTTGGGGGTCATGTGGAAGGCACAGGAGGTAGCAGCATAGTTAGCTCCTGGGGGTGAGGCCAAGGAAAGACAGAGGGGAGGCAGCAGGCATGAGCTGGGAGACAGAACTGTGTGCAACAGACCTGACCAGCTCTGCCAATCCTGTGGGGAGCTCAGTGTTAACACTGTGCCTTGAAGGAGCAGCTTACTATGCAGAAATCGCCAGGCTTTAATACCTGAACCATGCTTAGCACTGGATGGGGGACTCCCTGGAAGAGCATGGCCTCAATTCAACTGCTGTAAAGGGGCTGAACCTGGAGGGAGTCAGTTTGCTGCAAGAGTCAAGTTCTTTGGAGAGCAACTGAAGGGCAAAGCTTCCTCTTAGATAGATCTGGGGTTCTTTTCGTGTAAGGTATGCTATTTGGTTGTTGTTGTTGGAGTATATTCCTCAGTATGGGTTTATCACACTTATTTGTTCTCAAGGAACACTCAAGCTATTTTGCTATCATGAATAATGTGGCATTTCACACCCTTGAAAAGAACTTCTGGTCAACCTTCCATAGCCAGAGCTGATAAGGTAAATACGGAGAGGAGAAATTGCTGACTCTAAAGATACCTGTTAAGAATTCATAGATTCTTGGTAAAATGTCCTCTCAAAGGATGGTATACCATGGCTCTTACTCTGTAGGATAGGAGAGCCTGTATTTCCTACCCACCCTGACAGGTCTTGGATGGATAAGGAATTTCAGCCCTGGAGGTCAACCTTTCTGTTGGACCTCTGACCCTGTTCGTTCAAAGGCTCCTGACACCTGTACCACAATGCTTTACCTAAACCATTGTTTGCATTGCTGGCAGTTAGCCAGATGTTTACAGACTCTGGAAACAAACTATGGGGCTCAGTCCCAGAACCTCTTATTGCTAATTGTGACACAGACTCATTACTGAACCTCTCTTTGTTCCTCAGTTTCCCCGTGTGCATAATGAGGACAACAATAGCACATACCTCCTAGTATAGAGTTGATAGATGCTTAGTTCTTGGGACCCCGTGTGGTACACAGGAAAGCCAACTCAGTGAGCATTCACTGATGTCAATATCTGACCACCTTGCTTGGACCATCATGCTCTGCTTTCATGAAGCCACATTTCTGATACTGCTTCTCAAGCTCCAAGTGTCTCCCTCCCCAGTTTCCCCAGGCAAGACTATTTCCAGTCTGGAGTTGTCCCTTTCCTGGAATCCACTCTGGCTCTCACACTCTGCATATCCTCCCAGCCACGTAGGTGTGTCCCCTGCCATGCTTTTAGGGTGACTTAGTTGAATAAAAAACATATGATTCTCAGCCTTTTTTCAGACCTTAGTTTGCATCGACTACATTAATTCTCCAAAACACAAAAAGGACTTAATTGTTCCAATTGTAGCTTTATAACTTGTGATGTGTCTTAACAGTGCTACTGTGAGGTTTAACGGATTAGCACATGTGAAGAAGGTAGAGCTGTGGACCTAGGGATAACGCCTCTTTTTAATGCTATTCACCTGTACCTCCTGGTTAACTAAAATTCAGTGTTTCCATGCTCATTGAAAGCCAATCTGGCTTATGTTTAGTTGAGTTAGGTACCTGATAATGGGACCTGGTATAAAGACATGAAGAAATTCTGAAAGAGACAGAGATGGCAAAAGTAAAGAAAGAGAACTGCTGGGCTGGGTGCTAGGGTAAAAAGCACGGTTTGGGATGCCCACATCCCATACTGGAGGCCTTCGTTCAAGTCCTTATTCATCCAGCTTCCTGCTAATACACCTTGGAGGCAGCAGATGGATGGCTCAAGTACTTAGGTGCCTGCCACCCATGCTTTGAGCGCCTGACTTTGGCCTGGTCCAGTTCTAGATATTGTGGGCATCTGAAGAGTGAGCCAGTGTATGGAATATCTCCCTTTGTATGTGTTTAGGCACAATCTCATTGTTACACACTGAAAAGTCAGATGGAATAGAATATCTCTATGATTGTTCCTTGTCTCTCTGCTCTTTCAAATAAAAGGAAAGTAAGTAAACAACTGAGAAAAGAAGACAGAACATCAACAGGAGGGACGGCTTATCAGCTCTAGTGACACAGAGTTCATCAAGACATCAGCATAGGCAAAGGTGACACAGAGCAATGAGCTCTGGGTTGAAGGAGCCCATTGTTTGCTAATATTTTTAGCATCTTGAGCCCAACACTCTCAAGAGATTTTCAGGAAAATAAAACAAAGCAAAGCAAAGCAAGAAACACGGATGTCAAAGTTCATAGGTGAAGCCTGCCAATCTCAGGATCCTGTCAACCTACTCCAATGAACCCACCCAGCCATTTAGTGCTTCAGACTTAGGGCATTCTGCAGTTTGTAACCTGCTAGGTCACTTCAACACTGCTGGAGCCTTTCTCAAGCACACTGTAGTTTTACGGGTTGGTAACATAGAGGCTGGCACTTCG